GGCTCAGACGTTTTTCTTAATTACGCGATAATAATTACGGACTTTGTAAAATGGTATATAACTTTTCTTCTCAGTTTGACCCAATCTACTATAATCTTTGGAGTGGTCCAAATCGAATCCGACACCCTGTAGAAAGAATATATTTTAGATCAACTTTTACTTTCATATTGTAAAATTTTATAAATCTACACGCCTTAGTTTACAATCGTATCTATATTCAGGCGAAATAAAAACAGGCTCTGACTGGGGACACGTGAATCATTATTCAATATTCTCTCCTATAAAATATAAAAGGACAATACAAAAAGATATTTACATTCTACGTAGGTACATTAATTCGACACATATCGTGTGATGTGAAATCATATTCTATCGACACACATCGTTACGCTGACGATATACACATCAAAGACTCTTGTAGATAAATGCACATTCGGCTGCCGTATTCGACACACGCGCGTGTTAGTCTATACTTTTCCATACGTATAGTATCGAGAAACTCTTTGGTAATAAAATATTGAACGCGCTGCGGTTAAAAAATATAGCTTGGTTTCTATTTATTTCCTCCGTATGGGAGCAAGAGAGTCGTGTGAATCACCATTATCGCGGAGTAACTTCTAAAGCCCTGCGACGTACGGACGAAAGTCCTTCAATATTGAAATTCTGCTTCAAATTATTTTCCGTATCGATTCTTAGCCGAGTAGAGAACCTCTTGGAACACCCGTCTCTTCGGAGGCCGTGTATTTATAGTTTATAATTGACACCCCCGCAAGGGGATTAACCAAGTGTCACCGAACGCTGGACCATGTTAGGATAAACCTTCTTAAAAGATAAGACCTTCTCCCTTTATTAGAATAAGTCCCAAATGGTGAGAGGCTCCAGCAGGGGAGGTTCGTGCCATTTCGGATGTAAATAAGAGCGCAAGACGGCACGTAGCGAGTCATAATCAGCTTTTCTAACGGGAGTCATAATCAGTTTTAGTCTGGGCAATTGTGTAACCCAACCTTTTTAGAGCTCTCATTCTCTATTCAGTCAGTATTCAGCGGTTGAAGTTAGAAATCTTTAGAACCCAAATATTGGACAAGTCTGACTTAAAGTCTCGGCTATTGGCTAAACATACAGTCGCAATACTTAGAAAAATCTCTAAACACCTCGCGCGGACTTAGAAAGTAACGCGTTTAGACCGAGTTATACCCTTCTGTAATCAAGCTAGAATAAAAGGTGAAGTTAACGAAACTTTCAGGATTTTGAGTCAACTCCATTCACATTCATTCCTCTCTCTGATCGCTTCCAAAGACTGTGGCGAACAAACATATCCTCCCCCCTCTAATCGCTGACGAAGAGCGTAGCGATTAGAAGTATCTACCTCTCTCTGATCGCTGACAAAAGGTGTAGCGGATAAGAAATTATATCTCTACTTCCACTCAATGCCTAAGAGAGTAGGAGGCAAACGTGCTCAAATCAAACGAGTTAAATTCCAAATTAAGCAGGCAGTAATCAACTGTCAAGACCTTACGCCGTTTTTGTTCAGGTTGTCCGAACTTGAACCCGAGCACAATCCCAGAATTAAGCAATCACAGAATTACAAATTGATTCCAATAGATTTCGATGTCGATTATCCGAACTATACGACTATTAATAAATCTGATCCTCGTATGCAAAGTTTACCGAACCCGTTACCTTTTCGGTCCGGAAGACTAAATTTTATTTATTCCATTCACACGCAATCGAGTCCAAATCCCCGGTACTTAGATGTGTTGACCGAAAAACGGACGAAACTATACTTGTCAGAACGTGACAGCCCTTTTCAATTTGCCTGTTAAATTACTTTTTTTTTTAATTACAAGCAATTGCAAGAGAAACGATAAGTGTACGTACATTATTGAAAGTTGCTATTACCATTTCTCGCTGTAGTCTTAATCAACGCGATAACGGCGAGTGTTACTTAAATATTAATTTTCCTCCTCTAGCGTTTATATATGTAGGAGATATATATTCGGTGTCCTATCTTTTTCTGGCCGGATTGCACGAAATTTTGGATAGGTCAAAACGTTTAATAATTTAAAACCTTTCTTTAAACAAGCGTAACTAAATGCCTTTTGCGTATCTTTACATCACACATAAATAAATAATAATATTTCTGTCCTTATCAATCATTTTTTGCGCATCTTAAATCGCCCCACGCAAGCGAACCTTATTCTCGACCTATGCAATCACGTTAAAATTTTCTATCGACTAATGTTATAGAAAATATAAAGCAATTTGTTATCGACTTGATATTTCTTTTTCAAACGTAAAAGAAACGTTGATAAAAATTATAAAAATCTTATGTCAGGCTTGGTAAACTCTACACATTTTTACGAATACGGGACATATTATTTATATATATATATATAATATATACTACGTATCTAACATTGTATACGTCTACCTTTGGTACAATTTCCCTCACTACTAACTATTATCGTATTGTAAATTCTCTTTGTTCAGTGTTTCATCAGCCTTTGGTCAGCTGAGATGTAAGCGGCAAACGAGCATTTCACTTTGCAATTTCATTCTTTTCAAATGTTGTTTAGAGAACTCCTGTTATTCATAAAAATATTACATTGAACATACTAATGATAATGAGAATTATCATGTATTTCTTTGTACAAATTTGTTATAATAGTTTTGTCGGACTATTATAACAAAATTAATCCAAACAAGTACTTACTTGTTGTTGCAACGGTAGTTTAAATCTAGTTTGTAACAAGAGAGGCAAGTTATCTTTTTTCATCAAAACTGAAGGTACACGTTTGCTCGCGCGCCTCATAGTGCTCATACTTGACATCTAAATGTTACACACGAAGGCAAATGCTGTCGAACAATCGCAATCGCAGCGTATGTTCTCTCGTGTCTCCAACGAGTCTCTGGTAACTCTGACCGTTTCGCAGGGATGAACTTCTGCGATCGACGATAGCTTCTATCGACTTCAATCGCGCTTACGTAGGCCCGTTAACGACTCGGTCCTTATATAAAGAGATAATTTTCGTAATCTGCGTAAGAGGAGGCAGTCACGTGTTTTGAGTGCTTCACCGAGAGCGGCGTCGATGGAACGCTCTGCGGGAATTGCTGCAACCGCGGCAGCTGCACTTGCGGCAGACCCGTTCCATGGGACACGATTCGCGAGGTCTGACTGATGGAACCTAATGACGACGAGTGATGCTGATCCCGAATGATGATGTTGTTGTTGTTGTTGTTGTTGTTGGCGGTAACGCTAGTTTTTCCAGCGAGATGATGCAGGCTCAAATGATTGTTGTTCTCGATTCTCGGATTGTAGTGGGTAGGTAGACTATCGTGGAGATTCAGCCTCGACATCGCCATGGTGATGCTTGAGTCTGACGCCCACATACTCTGAAACGACGCCGGATTATGTAACAGATTTGAGACTTTCTATCAAGCTCCTATGAATAATTCTGATGACAGTGTAATTACACGGATTGGAGTTTACGACTACGATTTCTTTGTCTGAGTGCGCAATACCTCGTACTCTCTGCTCCTCAAAGATTCATGGGCAGAGAAGAAATTGAAGCTGATTCACCGCGAGACATTAGCATTAACTCTTTCTAGTCATAGTCTCATAAACAATCGACTATACCATTTTTTCTCGCCGCGAATACGTTTTCCAAGATTGGCCGCAGAACAGTTTCGAAAAGTTGCATTAGTCACTAAATTAGCAAACTAATCATACCCTCCGCCTATGCTGGTTGTAATCTGGATTGCGCCTAATGCGAAGATGTCGATCCGCACTAGTCCACCGTTGTGTGACCTTGAGCGGTGAATCGTCGGGGTGCAATTTCCTTTGGTACTCTTCACCTTCGCAGACCTCGTAGAGAGAGAATTGCTCCACCGGTTCCTTGGAGCTGTAGCAACTGAGCAACATCTGGATCAACTCGTCTACGGTGGTCTGCTCCGAGACCAAAAGGCTCTTGTACTTAGACTGCGGACAATAAGCATCGAGTTTGCTCACAATTACCGCGGCACAGACTGAAAACTCTTTCAACAGGTTTTACTGCGGTGTAAGTGCTCCGAAAGAATTTTAAGTTTTAGTTCAAAATGTTACTCTTCAGAAGTAAAATTATTAGCTTCTACCACAGAAAATGTACAATATTAATTTACAAATTATGATAAATTATTCATATTTCTAAATATACTTAAATGTATCTCTTATTTTCGTACAACTAGGTATTTAACAATCAAGATGGAGAATATATTCTTTCATGACGATTCTTTTTATAATATTTGAAAAAGTTTAGTTATTAATATTAACAAGTTATAATATTATCAATATTCTAACTTGTCTCTGTTTACTCGTACAAGAGAAAATATTTATTTACCCCGGACATGAGTGCGCTGTCGTATATTTTGATGAGTCCGCCGCGATGTGTCTGCAGTGAAAACCTGCAAACAAGGAGGAGACATATGTAAGCACGCGAGTTTATGCATCAGGGGTTCCACGACATTGGCAGGAGTCGGTAGGTTCAAAGGGCACCAACGAGCGTTATTTTTATGTAAAAGCGCGGGTTACGTCGGGGAGATAAACGCTCTCGTCCTATTACGCGTACAGTCGCGCCGGAAGTCTCAGACTACCTAAGAAAACATCAGTCCCGACGGGATTTCCTCGCAAATAAACGATTCTAATTACCAAACAACTGCAGCGACTATTTTTCTTTATAAGCTAATGAGTTGCAATAATACTTTCCACTTCGGTGCCGTAACGCGCTGCAACTTTTGCGTTCCGATGCAGCGCGCGTGGAATCCCAAATACGTCCCCGTGCTTCTTTCAACGATCCGTGACATTTACAACCGCGATCGCTGTCAAAATTCTATAAATTCCTCTTTGTTTCGCAATCGAATAGCCGTATTTGCATTCCTCGCGAACCGCACGCCAAGGATTTACAGCGACCCACGCGACCACTTGCGCCCGAGAATTATATCGGTGAGCAGCGCGGAGGACGTCGACCATTGTTAGCTCGTGCTTGGCGGTCTACGGGATGTGTTTATAGTCGCGAGCCCTGAAATTACGTCACGAAGCCGACCGAAACCGAAAGGGCCGGTGGTCAAGTACAAAGGCAGGGAAGGAACGTACTTGGAATCGCCGCGAGGATGGCAGGACTGCAGGACGGCTGGCCTCGCGTCCTCGTCGAGCGGCAGGACGGTACGCACATTGGCCCTCCTCACGGTAACCTCCATGGTCAGATAAAACAACCGGGGGTCGCGGTGTCTCATGCGATACTTGTTGAGAAGGTTTTGCACAACCTCGCGACAAGTCGTCTCATAGGTGATGCTCAGAGTCTTATACTCGATGTCCGGTCGCAGGCAGTTGGCGTAGACCTTTATGGTGGTCTGCAAACAAAGAGTTTACATTTTCCGTCAGACAGTATGAATATTTATATCAATAACTTAGTCCTTTTATAGAGCTCCCTTAGAAAAACGCACCAGTGACTCGAAAAACACCCCATAAAGGGGTGGGAAATAGTCCTGTTCCTTTTAAGCTAAATTCAGTAGCTGGGGAAGGTGACGTTCCGTTATGGCGGTGCAATAAAAAAGCTCCAAAGACGCAGACCTTGACAATTAGTCCATAATTAACTCAGGGACAGACTTTGGCCACGCGCGCGGCATAAAACGCTATCAACCCCTCCGATACGACTGGTTATGTAGGGATGTGCGCACCGAAAATAAACCAGACACCAGATCACCCCGTTTGCAGATGCCACCGCGCGCACGCATACGCTTGCGTTCACACGCATAATACATCCGCCTACCGGATCTATGCGGATTTAGAACAACAGATGTAAATTCGTGTTAAACAGAATTTAAATTGTGTTATATTTATTACACGTAAAATCAATTTCGCGCCACCCTTGCGGGAAAAAACACTCAAGTTTCGAGCGTCAACGCTCGATTGTCCGAATTTACTCTCAAATTTGGACATAAACACCCAGGATTTAAATTTTTACACCCAAATTTGAGAGTAAATTCGGAATCGAGTGTTAACGCTCAAAACTTGAACGGCTTTTCCGCAAGGGTGTATCGCCGCTCTCTAAAAATCAATCTGTGGATCATCACTGAAAACAGTGAATAGTCACCGGTTTGCAGTTATAAATATATCACTGAAAGTCGCAGCGGTACACTTGTAACTGTAAATCAGTGACTATTCGCTGTTTTCAGTGATAATTCACCGATTGATCGTTAGAGAGTAATTACTTCATTTATATATAATCAGTGTTGTGCATAGATGATTTTAAAATTAGCTAGATAAAGATAAGATAAAGATGATTTCGTTTTGAATATATCTAGATAAAAGATAAAATTATATGATTCATCTAGATAATTTTCAGATAATATTTTTAAGACTTCATGTAAACGCAGTAGAAAAAGTTATGAAAAAATTATAGAAAAATATAAATTATAAAGAGGGATATAGAATATATTCAGGTTAAGTTATATGACACATACATAAATGCATGGTCTACAACGCCATCCATATTTAAATAGTGTAACTGTTAAGTATTTTTATGTGGCCCTAAACCAAATTATCTGTATGTTATCTTAGATAATTTAGTAAAGATAACACTTTCTTTCATGTAAGATGCACATATAGATAATACTTATTTTTATTATCTATATAAAGATAAGATGACGCTAAAATTTTATCTAGATAATCATCTATATAATTTTATTTAGATAACAGCAAACACTGTATATGATTGTTTATAATGTTTAGAGAATTCTTTATATTTATTTTCTCATGTAAATGATTGTTTTAACAAACACTTTAGTCGAAGGTGTTGGTATTCTATCACAAATAATAGCATCTTTGCGTCAAAAGTAAACCACCTCTCACACCATCAGCATTGAAGACATTCAGGTATCAGTCAGCGGCGTGTCAGCTCGGGTGTCGCGGACATGTGTTTACATGTAAAGGTGCCTTCCCTCGAAACACGAGTTTTCGTCGAGATTTTACGAGTCAATTGTACGCCTTTTATCGCTCTGTCGAAAGTCCTTTGACCCGAGACACGCCTTACGAATGTATACCCGAACGCGTTTGCACACTCGTCCGAGGGAGACGGTTTCGTCGAAGCTCGAATAAAATCGTCGCGGGAAACCGGAACCTGTGTTACGAAATCCAGTCCGGATCCGGCCGAGTCTCTATCGTGTGAAATAAACGCGTTTCAATGACAATCGCGAGATTATGCCTCCAATGCGCTTATTACAATGTCAACAATGGCGTTCACCGCGTACTGGCGCAATCGCGTATTGTAAGTTGAATTCGCCGTTACATTTTGTCTTATTGTGTAACGTCACGGCGCACTCGGAAGGAGACATCGCCGACGAGAGATTTACAATTTTGTGACTAAAGGAAGATTGTTCACAATTTTTATAATCAAGCTGCGCCTTAAGAGGGAAAGCTATCGAATTTCTTGACTAATTGCATAAAGATGCAAACGTTCTCTTCTATATTTCGTTACCATTTGTTAGCGAGCTTGTAAAAATATACAAACCGGTATAAATTCGCCTCGAAATTCTCGGTGGAGTTTTACGATGACCGCCAATCGATAGGGAAAACATCGAGCCGGGCCTAACAAGTGGTACCCTAACGAAGCCGAAGATACACAACGTTGGCGTAAATATACAACGCCCGGCGTCCTGACTGCAGAAAGATTTCCATCTCACCAGAACAAACTGCGCGATGTTTTCGCGGAAATATTTTCGCACGTATAGGTGTAACAAAGTGTCTGATTCAGCTGCCGGAATTCCAGTCCCATGGCATTAATATATATCGTTTACGCGAATTGTTTCGGTGCGCGTGTACCAATCTTTACACAGTTCTTTCCTCAAGTACACCACATCCGGCAAGGTACAAAGATCGTTATGAATCACACATTCTAAGCACGCCAATGACGCTTTTTTCCTCTTAGAAAACTTGAGCAGATGATATATAAAATTTAGCTAGTGGAGGAAATGCTTATTAATCTCGCGAATTAAGTGAGAATAGAATTCAAATGCGTGGCATACAGAATCGACGTCTAGTTTAAAATTCAATTTTAAGAAACGGCTCCTTAATTAATCCACGAAAATATCACCAACGTACAGTTTGAACGCTGAAAATTGATAACGACAATAGTCACCTTATTAAAAATCGCATCGAAGATCGCCCGATCGGCCACTGTTTTCATCGGAACTGGCGGCTAATGAGGGGGAAATAACGCGGGAGTTAGAAGGCGAGTGTCGGGCAAGGCATGTGCCTCGTCAGGATCGAGAAGGACGTACGACACTCCGTTAAGCGCGGTAGACTTCAATATCTCGCACCCGGTTATACAGGGCGGACAGAAATACGTCTCGAGATATTTCGGTTCGACGTTCCTTCGGGTTGAAAGTATCGCTCGCGCACGCACAATTGGCACCGCCGTCAAAACTGCCGCCTCAATTTCTATCCGACTGCAGCAACTACCGAGCTGTAACGTCGGCGCTCGATAGATAAGAACACATTAAAGGAATTAACGTACAATTTAACACCGCCTTCTCATTTTCCCAAGTTACTTTATCTCGCAATCAGCTCACATAACGAACTTAAAAACACTTTGTTCTCCGAAATGTATTCATACCTTGGCCGGGGTTATCAACGTGCAACTCACCTTGCATAATGCGCGCGATGATGTCACCGTTGCTATTTATAAAACCGCGCACAAGGGGGATTTTGATAATGCGTAGACTGACTCCTCGTGCCCTTGATCTTACGTTACAGCCGGTAATAGGATGCAGCAGACATTCTTTACCAGCGAGATAATGGCAGCTACCAGCGTGCGTCGCATTAGCTTTAGAACGTGTATGACGAGAGATATTAAGACGGTAAAAAGTATTAAAGTTTCCAACAATTTTTCCTGTAATCAGCCTGCGCGAATACGCGAATGCCATACCCCTAGTAGCACAGTATACTGGCGCAATGTTGGGAAATAATGTAAATTTCGTATTCCCAATATTGGCCCAATATTGTAAGATGGCCGCCCTCTCTTACTTAGCCAATATGTCTGTTTAGCAATATTGGTCTAACATTGCATCAATCTTAAACCAATTTTCCTCCCGGGGAAAAAATTTAGATGAAATTGTATGTAATTATATCAAATTACATATATATAATTATATACAGGGTGAGTCTTTCCATATCCGACAAGATTTTTGAGAAGGTAGAACGGATCGAGATGAATGGAAAAGTCCTGTACCATTTTGCAATTTTCGTAATAGTTAACGAGTAATTAATTATTAAAAATCGTTGTCTTAGGCCAGCCTACCGCCCAATTCGAGCGCGTGGCAAGATGTGACCGCCCGGCGATCGATATTGCTATGCGCACATCTCGCCACGCGCTCGAATTGGGCGGTAGGCCGGCCTAAGACAACGATTTTTCATAATTAATTACTCGTTAACTATTACGAAAATTGCAAAAGGGTACAGGACATTTCCGTTCATCTCGATCCGTTCTACCTTCTCAAAAATTTTGTCGGATATGGAAAGACTCATCCTGTATAATTAGATCCATTAATATCATCAATTACTTCCTGCCCAATATTGGCTTTACGTTATTTTCTATAACCAACATTGGACCAATATTCAACCAACGTTTAGCCAATGCGCTGTGCTACTAGGGTAGGTTGCAATTATCGTACGCAAATCATTCTTATCGGGGTAAAATCGTTATATTTACCATAAAATTTTTAATCCCACAAAAGTGATAAAAACTCCTGTTCCGCATGCGTTACGGTACTCGAAGTCTCGTTATATGCAAGTTCCACACCTGAAACTACAGATCGGTTTAATCGATTGCCCCGTAATTATACATCGGAGATAAGTTGTTCGGCGACTTCGCTTTTTTTTGCGTTCATTCATTACGTGGTTAACGACGGACTCCACGCGAAGGAAGCGGCCGCATTTTTACGTCGCCCTAAAAACTCGTTCTGTAAATCGAAGCTCTAATAGGAAAGCCAGCTTGGGGAATTCCAAGAAGCGGAGGAAGTTCCGAAATTTAGCCGGCGATACCGCCATATCGGGCACACGATGCGACGGAAAAAATGAAGCATAGAACGGAACAGTGAGCGCCATATGTCACGGGATGCCGTCGTAATAAGGGGGTGCGATTTAGCTGGAATCCATAAAAATCCTGCTCCTTGCGAAGGAGGAACATCGTAGACGTATAGTTTACAACATTTGTGCCGTTAATTGTACATTCGAAACCGGTAAATCAGCCATTGCCTTCTTTGACTTCTGCCTCCTTCCTGTTCTGATTCGTCCTGTTCTGCGGGGCAGCTCGCTGGCGCTCTAAATATAGTCGCCTTTATCGTAACTTTAT